TCCATCCTTATCCAAAATATGCTCCAACAGACACCAAGAAGCAAGGTCCCAAGCGTCTTACTATTGAAGAATACAGGAGACGGCAGAGACCGATAGGCCACCTTCACCAAAACTCTCAACAAAAGGAAGAGAAGAAGTGATCGGGAAAGCATTCAGAAAAGGAAGATACAGATAGCTATTCTCTATCAAAACAATTTGCAAAACCGATAAGGAGATTAGATTGGTTGTGCCAAAAGTAAGTCATATTGGAACCTTTGACATGTAATAAATCGATGCAGCAAGATAGCGGAGCAACAATTTACTTGTGAAGGTAATTTTCCTTGGACAGATGCAAACGATAACTCTTGCGAAATTTCGCCACTAAAACCAACTAATCGAGATAATTGTCACTACGAAGAAGTAAATAATTCTTCCATTTGGGTCAAATTATATCGACAGAATAGTTGGATATTCAAAACTTTTAAGCAAGAATCTGCCCACATTAGATGTTCAAATTCAATGGAAGATATAATAAACTTATCAGGTCAAGGCATTTTATCACTAGCAGAAGGATGTATGGCACGTATAAGAGGAACAACATTAACATCCTCTAGTAATCTGCAAAGCTCTGCGATAGTAGAGGAGCTCAAGCCGGTTATTAGAGACGCTATTATGATTGATAATAGTAATATAAAACCTTGGCATCATTGGAAAATAAATAACAAAGAAGAAATTAATCAAATAAATAAGAAAATAAATGAGATAAAGGGTAACACAGTAAAGCTAAAAGATTTACAATTTCATCACATTTCTGGGCACACGGCATTAGGATTAACTACAATCACAATAATCGTAATAGTGATTTATCTAACTCGAGCAGCGCTAATAAGAAGAAAACTGTTGTCTATTTCTATTAAAGGCCCTCGGCAGACTGTTCAAAAATGAACAATTAACATAATCTATATTTGTTTATTAATATATCTATTATATATTATATCTTAATTAATTAATTAATCTTAAAAAAATATATTAAATAATGAATCATGTTAATTTATATAATTTTTTTAATCTATATTACCATGTTAAAATCCTACAATTATTTTGAAATACTTAAAAAACAAAAGTTTTGTTAAAAGAAAATACCTATAAAACTTATATATACTATATTATTGAATGAAACTTTTATATTATACTAAGTCATGCTGCCTTAATTAAGGCGCTGACAGTATGTTCAATAATGAACATGTATTTTAAGACAAATGCCAGTTTTCTCTTTAAAATCATAAAAAATTATATTAAAATTAAAATAATGCACAACTGTGCATATTAAACATGCTGGCAGGATGTTCTTAAATTGATAGTTTATTATTCCAAGCCTGTTATAGTTTAAATGCTTAGAATTATATACGAAGGAAAAAACACGGATAATAAAAAACCCAAAACTAAAATAGTTACAATGTAGAATATTAAACACATTTTAAAATACATTTTATGATACACGGCACCGTATCGATAATAAAAATATATTTGTAAAATAATAAAAATTCTACGTGCCGGGATTTTATTGTATCTTTTTTTTGTAAATACAGTCCACTCAAACAAGCTATAACAGGTAATAAATATTGTAAATTAATTAAGTTAGTTTTAAGATTATTTTTGTATAAATACAGCATACTTTTTAAAATAAAATCAGTATCGACTGAATACTCAGATTGTAAACTTCGTCTTCTATTTTTATCCAAACATTTTTTGGTCCTTCGAGCCGGATCATTTTTGGTCCTTCGAGCGGATTCATTTTTTGGTCTTCGAGCCGGATCATTTTTTGGTCCTTCGAGCCGGATCATTTTTGGTCCTTCGAAGCCAAGGAAATTGTATAAAAATATGAATGAGTCATAGTGATCCCCCACCAGAGGTAAGACACTTGACTTAAACATTTTTTTAGAGCCTTACAACCTCTAAAAATACATTTTTATATATATAGTCATAGTGATCCCCCACCAGAGGTAAGACACTTGACTTAAACATTTTTTAGAGCCTAACAAACTCTAATACTAAAATTATTTTAGAGCCTAAAAAACTCTAAACACTTGTTAGAGCCTTACGAACTCTAACACTAAAATTTTTTTTTAGAGTCTTACAACCTCTAAAAATTAAAAAGTTCATAAGAACACTCTGAGTTCTTATAAATAAATATCAGGCAGTCCGTAAGGAACGCCGAAATTATTGGCTGAACCTAACAGCCTTTAGAAACAAAAAGGTATTGAGGGAAAATTTGTGACTAGATTAATAGGATTGTTGTTCCTCTATTCTAGGGAAAAGTTTTGTCACAGAACTCTTTTTAAAAAAAAATCAGGCAGTCCGTAAGGAACGCCGAAATTATTGGCTGAACCTAACAGCCTTTAGAATCAAAAAGGTATTGAGGGAATATTTGTGGCCAGAGAATTAGGATTGTTGTTCCTCTAATTTTCTTTTTTAAAAAAAGGGAATATATATATAAAAAATTTTTTTTTAATTTTGGCGAGCCAAGAGGATATTCTAATAATATCACTCGAAGCTGAAGAGGAATACTGTCCACAGAAATATTCCATTCTTATCCAAAATATACTCCAACAGACACAAAGAAGCAAGGTCCCAAGCGTCTTACTATTGAAGAATACAGGAGACGGCAGAGACCGATAAGGCCACCTTCACCAAAACCTCAACAAAAGAAGAAGAATAAGAGATCGGGAAAAGCATTCCAGAAAAGGAAACAGATAGCTATTCTCTATCAAAAACTACATTTGCAAACCGATAAGGAAGATAGATTGGTTGTGCAAAAAGTAATCAATTGATGAATCCTTTGACATGGAGTCAATGCAGCAAGATAGCAGAGCAACAATTTACTTGTGAAGGTAATTTTCCTTGGACAGATGCAAACGATAACTCTTGCGAAATTTCGCCACTGAAACCAACTAATCAAGATAATTGTCACTACGAAGAAGTAAATAATTCTTCCATTTGGGTCAAATTATATCGACAGAATAGTTGGATATTCAAAACTTTTAAACAAGAATCTGCCCACATTAGATGTTCAAATTCAATGGAAGATATAATAAACTTATCAGGTCAAGGCATTTTATCACTAGCAGAAGGATGTATGGCACGCGTATAAGAGGAACAACATTAACATCCTCTAGTAATCTGCAAAGCTCTGCGATAGTAGAGGAGCTCAAGCCGGTTATTAGAGACGCAATTATGATTGATAATAGTAATATAAAACCTTGGCATCATTGGAAAATAAATAACAAAGAAGAAATTAATCAAATAAATAAGAAAATAAATGAGATAAAGGGTAACACAGTAAAGCTAAAAGATTTACAATTTCATCACATTTCTGGGCACACGGCATTAGGATTAACTACAATCACAATAAGCGTAATAGTGATTTATCTAACTCGAGCAGCGCTAATAAGAAGAAAACTGTTGTCTATTTCTATTAAAGGCCCTCGGCAGACTGTTCAAAAATGAACAATTAACATAATCTAGATTTGTTTATTAATATATCTATTATATATTATATCTTAATTAATTAATTAATCTTAAAAAAAAATATATTAAATAATGAATCATGTTAATTTATATAATTTTAAAATCCTACAATTATTTTTTATAAAATTTTTTATAAAATAAAATTGAAATACTTAAAAAAAAAAGTTTTGTTAAAAGAAAATATCTATAAAACTTATATATACTATATTATTGAATTAAACTTTTATATTATACTTTTATTAAGTCATTCTGCCTTAATAAAGGCGCTGGCAATATGTTCAATAATGAACATGTTATTTTAAGACAAAGACCAGTTTTCTCTTTAAAATCATAAAAAATTATATTAAAATTAAAATAATGCACAACTGTGCATATTTAACACGCTGGCAGGATGTCCTTAAATTGATAGTTTATTATTCCAAGCCTGTTATAGTTTAAATGCTTAGAATTATATACGAAGGAAAAAACACGGGTAATAAAAAACCCAAAACTAAAATAGTAACATTGTAGAATATTAAACACACTTTAAAATACATTTTATGATACACGGCACCGTATCGATAATAAAAATATATTTGTAAAATAATAAAAATCCTACGTGCCGGGATTTTATTGTATCCTTTTTTTGTAATACAGTCCACTCAAACAAGCTATAACAGGTAATAAATATTGTAAATTAATTAAGTTAGTTTTAAGATTATTTTTGTATAAATACAGCATACTTTTTAAAATAAAATCAGTATCGACTGAATACTCAGATTGTAAACTTCGTCTTCTATTTTTATCCAATCATTTTTTGGTCCTTCGAGCCGGATTATTTTTGGTCCTTCGAGCCGGATCATTTTTGGTCCTTCGAGCCGGATCATTTTTGGTCCTTCGAGCCGGATCATTTTTTGGTTCTTCGAAGCCAAGGAAATTGTATAAAAATATAAATGAGTCATAGTGATCCCCCACCAGAGGTAAGACACTTGACTTAAACATTTTTTTTAGAGCCTTACAACCTCTAAAAATACATTTTTATATATGAGTCATAGTGATCCCCCACCAGAGGTAAGACACTTGACTTAAACATTTTTTAGAGCCTAACAAACTCTAATACTAAAATTATTTTAGAGCCTAAAAAACTCTAAAACTAAAATCTTGTTAGAGCCTTACGAACTCTAACACTAAAATTTTTTTAGAGCCTTACAACCTCTAAAAATACATTTTTATATATGAGTCATAGTGATCCCCCACCAGAGGTAAGACACTTGACTTAAACATTTTTTAGAGCCTAACAAACTCTAATACTAAAATTATTTTAGAGCCTAAAAAACTCTAAAACTTAAATCTTGTTAGAGCCTTACGAACTCTAACACTAAAATTTTTTTTTAGAGCCTTACAACCTCTAAAAATTAAACAGTTCATAAGAACACTCTGAGTTCTTATAAATAAATATCATACAGTCCGTAAGGAACGCCGAAATTATTGGCTGAACCTAACAGCCTTTAGAATCAAAAAGGTATTGAGGGAATATTTGTGGCCAGAGAATTAGGATTGTTGTTCCTCTAATTTTTTTTAAAAAAGGGAATATATATAAAAAATTTTTTTAATTTAGGCGAGCCAAGAGGATATTCTAATAATATCACTCGAAGCTGAAGAGGAATACTGTCCAGAAGAAGTATTCCATTCTTATCCAAAATATACTCCAACAGACACTAAGAAGCAAGATCCCAAGCGTTTTACTATTGAAGAATACAGGAGACGGCAGAGACCGATAAGGCCACCTTCCCCAAAACCTCAACAAAAGAAGAAGAAGAAGAGATCGGGAAAAGCATTCCAGAAAAGGAAACAGATAGCTATTCTCGATCAAAAACTACATTTGCAAACCGATAAGGAAGATAGATTAGTTGTGCAAAAA